CTCTCCCTCGGGGGAGCCCCCACCCCAGGCCCACCCTGGACTGGCCCAGCTCACCCACCCAGAATGCCGCCGTCGGAGGAGCCCTGCTCACTCTCCAGGATTCCGTGGGACAGAGAAAGCCCACAGGGCAAATGTCCTTCCCAAAGAGCGGAGGCACGAGGTTCCAAGGGAAACAGCAGCCAGCAGGGTGGGCAGAAGCTGGCCGCACCGAGGAAGAGACGGGGCGCAGCGGAGGGCGGCGAGGGACCTGGGTCGGCAGAGGGGCTGCGTCAGTCCTCGGTCACAGGCGGGGGCGCGAGCCGCAGCTGGAAGTTCTCGTTCTGGAAGACGCTGCTGAAAGCGGGGCCACTCTGGGAGCCGCTGAAGGGCCGGTAGCTGTCACTGCTTCGGTTCTGGGAGAGTTCTGTCAGGAGCGCCAGCTGCAAAGAAGGGGACCCTTCAGGCGGGCTGTGGGGACAGAGACACGAGGGGAGGGCTCTGCACTGCCCACCCCGAGACAGACTCGCTGCCGGAGCGGGGAAGGACGGGGTTCAGGTCCACGGGCGGGCGGCCGTGTTGCACAAAGCAGAGAGGGCGCCGGGCAAGTCCACGGCAGTGCGTTGGCCCAGTGCCTCACTGGTGCAGGGGAGACGGGTGTCCCGAGCCCCGTCCCACTGCCCACAGCCTGGCCGCTCCTCTGCCAGCTGCTGTGTCCCCGTCCCGGGCTTGGCTCATCCCACTTTCCCTCGCTGCGGGGTGAGTGACCCTGTACTGCAGTCGCTGGCTGACCTCGCTCTCCTAACCTGGATGGCTCCAAATGTAGGGTTCTCAGCCCCCGTTTCGGACTCAGGGTCTCACTGCTCCGATGAGTCCACCGCCGAGGGCCCGGCCATACCTTATCCCCTTGGCACCTCCGTTCCGGGAGACCTGTCCCGGGGAGGGCAGGGCACAGCCAGGGCTGCCCTCGGTTGCTGTCCCTCCGGTTAGGGTGGCTTTCTGTACCGGAAAGGCCCAGAGCCTCGCCACATGGGGTGGTGCACACCTGGGAACCCAGCACTCTGGGAGGCTGAGGCAGGAGGATGGCAAGTGCAAGTCTCAGCCTGCACAACTTAGCCATTTATTGAGACCCTCTCTCAAAAAAGGAGTGGAGATGGAGTTCAGTGAGAAGGCCCCGGGTTTAATCCCCAGTTTTGAAGAAAATAAAAGTTGGGCACCTGCCTGTCTGGCCCTGGGGATGCCCTTGACGGTAAGAAGAGATGGTTCCATCTGGGTGCTAGGACTTGCTGCCCACTGAGTGTCTGTGCTGCTTCTCCATCCCTTACAGAGGGGTCACTGCACACCCCAGAGCTGACCTGCGGGGACTCGGGCCAGGGACCAAGGCCCAGCAACAGCAGCCAGGACTCGTGCGACAGAGCCGTGCCCACTGCCAGCTCGAAGGAGCCTGCACAGCCAGCCCGTGGATCCAGACGGAGGCAGCCGAGCTCGCCAGCCCTCGCCAGCCCAGGGCAGCTCTGCCAAGGGTCCTTCCGGTGCCAGCACCACACTCACTGCTTTGCATATGCACTGTTTCTAACGCTCCACAGTCACCCTCTGGGGTAAACCCTACTCTCCACCACCCAGCCTTCTCTGGAGCTGTTTCCTGTGCCCTGCCCACCCGCCCTGTCCTCCAGCTGTTTCCTGACCTCTGGCAGGGCAGCAGGCCTTCTGTCACCCAGGCAATGACCCTTTTGTCACTTTTGCTGCAAACACTCTTTGTGGTTACTTCTGCTGAAAGCCACCCGAAGGCCCCTAACAGCCAATGTGTCAAAGTGCTCCAGTCCCAGGACCTGGCTCAGTGCCATGGCCACAGTCTAAGATCCACACTCGGCACCTCCCACGCTGGCGCTCTGCCTGGGGACACACAGCCAGGGCTCCCACTGTCACCCAGGCAGGTGACAGAGATGGCCCTGGTTCTGCTCAAGCCCTGCTTTGTGCTCCTTTCTCCCATAACCTCCTAGCTGGTGCCAGCCTGGAGAGGGAGGGAAGGGAAACAGCCGGGGAGGGAGGGAGCTCCCTTCCTCAGTGAGCAGAGCAGCCAGACACTGAGCTCCCCATGCCTCTGCTCTCCAACCTGCGAGCCAGAGACCGACCATGGAGAATGTTTCCTATTTCCTGTCTTCCCGCTGTCACTCAGGGACTGGGAAAGGCTCTGCCCTGAAGCAGAACAGCGCCCCGGGAAGGCCTTGAACTGGCTAAGGACTGAGCGTGGCTGCAGATGGGAAGGAAGCGGGTGAGGCTGGGCCACGCAGAGAGCTCTGGGCTGTTTGTTTTCTGGAGTGAAGACGTGTGCCCAGGCCAGCTTTGGAGAAGGGATCACCAGTGTCCTCAGCATCCTGTGAGGGTTGATGTGGCCCAGGGCCAGGGCACAGGAGCAGCCGGGGCAGGTGAAGTGGGGGAGCAGGGCCGGGGTGTGGAGGTGGGCAGGTTGGGGTCTCCCTCCTTTGGGTGGCGGAGAGCAGAAATGGGTTTCCAGCACGGGGACCACAGGCCACAGTCCGACTTTACACAGATGACCGGGACAAGGGGAGCGCTGCTGGCCGGTCAGAAGCTCTGTGGCAGCCTCTGTGGTGAGCAGGAGCCCGACCAGCGCAGTGGCGGTCTGCAGGGCAAGGGAGAAGTGGAGGAGACGACTGCGGGACCTCCCCGCGGAGCAAGGGGCTGAGGGACGAAGCCAGGGCGCGGCCATGTCAGCTGTGCCACTGGTGGGACGCAGGACCGAGGCGTGACAGTGACTACAGCCGCCCTCCCTTGCACGCTTCTGTCCTCCCAGGGAGGAGGTCCCAGGTTTCGGCCATGGTTTCCGGCTTCCGCTGCTCTCCAGCACCGCCTGGGCCTGGGTCCGGGTAGTCAGGGAGGTGACAGCCCACAGGTGCTCCGCTTCTAGCCTGGCGGGAGGGCTGTGGGAGGCGCCTGGCCACCTGCGCTCTCACTTCTGTTGGTTTAAGCCAAGGTCCCTTTGCATTTCTTTATCTCTCTCAAGGCCCAAACTAATTGAACCAAAGCAAATGGCCTCAAGGGCCTGGGCTTTGGGACAGAAGTGTTCACCACAGGAACCCTATGTACCATAACATAAGCTAAGATTAATAATATCCACAAAAGTGAAAATCGAGACAGGGAACTGGGTTAGAAAAACAAGCTGCACTATGTACATGTAACCACTCCCGGAGGTGACTGTAAACCGCACGTATTGCAAATATGTACTAGTAAAAGAAAAGTAAAGAAATAAAGGTTCCCTGGTGAGGGATCCAGCTTCTGCTGTGCTCTCTCCCAGGCAGGTCAAACACAGAAGCCATTGTGGGCCCTCCCAGCCCTTGTAGGTGAGGGACAGGTAACGCCTCCGCTCCACTCCTTTTCAAAACTTCCGAGTACTCCCTGGGGCCAGGGGCTGGAGGCCACATGGCTCTAACGGGGGCCAGGGTCCCTTCCAGGCTCAGAAGTCTGCGAGTAGCAGGGCTCCAGGGCACTGCCTGTCCAGTGCTGCAGCTGGTAAACAGGGAAACAGAGACGTAAACAGCACAGACCTACCCGGGAACTTCCTCGGTACAGTCGGCACAGCTGCTCAAATGCCTGGGTTTGCTGTGGATCCAGAACAGGTTCTGAGGTTGCCTGAGAAATAAAAATGCTGGGATTAACACCACCATGTGGCTGGTCCATGGGCAGCCTCTGATCTTGCCCCATGTCCACGGTCAATCAGGAACTGGTAGTTCCTTCCTTCTAAAGAAAATCGATGCTACCAGCAGTGAGGGAGAAGTTTAGTGCACACTTCTGGACATGGCCATGTCCCACTGACGTCCTTCCTTGCTGCTGACCCAAGGTGGACCTCTCCCCACACTCTTTCCTCGAAGCAGCCCCTGAACTTTCCATGCTCACACACTTCTGGGCCCTCGTCATGACTCGGCAGAGGACCTGTGGCCCACCCAGCCCTGCACCCCACTTCCTGCCCTCTACCTCTGCTCTGTGATGGGGCGAGGGCGCATACTGTAGATGCAACAGCATGCTACTGCCGTGTTTCAGGACAGCTGGCAGCCACCGAAGGGCTCACAGTGTCAGACTGTGGCTGCGTTGAAGAGGGGACATCCGACTTGCTCTACGGCACTCTTGTTGGCCCCACCTGTGGCTAAGGGGCAATGCGCCTCTCAGAGGACAGGGCCCGACTCACATCTTACTGAAAATGAAACCAGATGAGCCACACAAAGTGTCTGTCCTGCCTGGGACAGGCCAGGGTCAATGCATGGTAGCTTTTACCACTCCTATTTAGATGCCCTTAGTTAACAAAGATGTCTTTCTTTGCCCTGTGTTGTGAACCCACTGTCTTCAAGGGTTCCTGAAGACAATGTAGGTGACTCAAAGGGTCTCAGTGCCCAAGGGCTTGGTGTTGACGTAGGCACACATCTATGTTGGCTGGCTGGGGCCAGGGGCTGTGAGAGACCATAAGCAGACACGTGGAACACAGGTGCTTGCAGAGGTGGCCCCCACTGCGTGACAGCAGGGCCTGAGAGGGTGACAGAGTGGAGAGGAGGTCACCACCAGCCACGATCACACCGGCAGAGCCGTGTGTGTGCAATGTGCCCGGTGTTCATCCCACCCGATGCTCTCTGGGAGGTCCTGGCACACCCATGATTTCCCCCCTGAAGGATGTGAACTTCACAAAGTATAATATACAGATACTCTAGGTGGTATGTAAATTTGTCTTCTAGGAATGGCTTTTGCTACTCCGGACTCAGAAAGGAAACAACTGCACAGGCTCGTGATGCTGGCCCAGCATGAAGTGATCTCAGCCCCAGCCCTCACGAGGGGGAAAGGCTGCCTGAAGATCCAGAAAGCAGAGGTGAGAAGGAGGCTTCTTCAGTGGTAATGGCGAGGCTGGTCTGGCTTCTGCCACCAGCCTGGGGCGCAGCCACCTCAGTCTGGACAGGCTCAGGGGTACGGGCATGGCCGAGGGAGGGGCTCAGAGACATGGCCGAGCAGGGGAGGGTGGCCCCGAGCCAACGACCGGCAGAGAGGAGGCGAGGCTGGCAGGGGCTCCCCTTTCATGGATCAGCCTCATTTCTCTGGGTCTTCCAGACCCACAGAGGGGCCCCACACGAGCTGAGAAGGTTAAACTGGCCCCGAGACTTTAAAGAGACATTTTCTTAAGTTATATGGTAGGAAAAATGATCACACTCTTGGAGAGAAAGTGTGCGGACAGTTACATTTCTGGTAGACCTGTCACACGATGCCCAGGGGAGGTTCAGGCCAAACAAGACCCGAAGATCTGACAAATAATACGATCCTAGCTCAAACTAAAGTACAAAGAGGAAAAACATAATTACCTTCGAGGGGCTGAACAGGGGAAAACCTGGGCCCGGCAGCTTGCTTTTTTGTAATCCTTGCAGCACTGCGGGCACAAGCTGGGCAGCAGGCAGGATCAGAACAGAGACAGCACAGGCAAGCACGGGCCGCAGGCAGCCACCTGGCTGAGCCACACTCGCTTAGTCCTCAGGACGGCGTGAGGGTAATGAGGGCTCAAATGGAAGCAGCCGGGGGAGGGACTGGCTGGAGCAGTTAATTAAAAGGAGGCTGCCAAGGCCGAACCAGCAAATGATAGCAGCAAGAGCAAGGAAAGTTCTCTCCGACAGAGGCACTTGGGTAAAGCAGTCCTCTGCCTTGCAGGGATCTTCTGAACATAAAGCTACACTTCATGCAGACGCGGTGTGAGATGCTGGGATGGAAAATTCAAGTGAGCCTGGCCGCCTTTGGAGGTCTAGGAAATTTCCACCAGACCCTGCCCTGAGAAGATCTGTGTTGAATACCAGTCTTCTTTACTAACTGTGTACTCTTTGTCTTTTTGTGTCTATCACTAGGGAACTCAGAGCTAATGGTCTGCAACTCAGAACTAGCAACCACAGGACGTGGTGGCATTTTTGGGTGCTACAGTAATCCATGGTTTTCTATTATATCCCACAGACATTTTATTTTTTTAAAATCTAGATTTCCTTATGTACTTACTTCATCCAATGGCACATTATGGGAGCCAATTCAAAATTTCTTAGGAAAGTAAAGGCTGTGTCAGATCAGACTTGAGGAATGCTATTACTAAAAACAGAACCGTGCTGTCCAGCCCCCAGGAAACCCCACAAGGTGCACAGGGCTGTTCCAGGCATAGCATAAACAGTGCTGGCCCCTGAGAGTTTGTTCACTGAGGCAGAAAGTGCAGCAGTCTCAAACGATGGTCCAGTCTGTGTTCTCTGCTTAAGTGCTTCTCGAGCTTTAATGTTCACAAGGCCCGCTGAAGGACCTTGTTAACACGCAGGTCCTGGCCAGCAGGTCTGGGATGGGGTGGGTCATCCTGCCTGCCCAACGTGTTCCCTGCTGGTGCTGTCTGTACTCGAGTGACAGGGCTCAGTCCGTGCCTTGGGGACAGCGGCTGCGTTTCTCACTGGGTCCTAGGGGCAATAGGACAGTCTAAGAGTGAGGGTGCTCTGCCTCCCAATTCAACTGTGCCAAACCAGCCAAATAACTCACATTTATTTTTCTAAGGTGACGCTTGTTTTCAGCATTCACCGAATTCACAGGTATGCTGGGGATCCTTGTTAAGAGTTTAACACTATGATAATGTTCCTGCCCTGTGCTTTATCTGAATCTTACTGAAATGCAGGCCTTCTACCTAGTTTACTAAATGAGCAAACAGAATTGTGTAAATTGAGGAAGAAAAGGATCAGAGGCTTGTCTGATAAGAACATGCATGCACACACACAGGGGCAGGGCTGGCACTAAGCCCTTGGCTTGCTGTGAGTCTATTTCTCCTCCAGACAACTTAAACTCCTTGAAGAAGCCAAGAGAAGTTTTCCAGTGATGACGTCCTCCAGGAACTGAAAACGTACTTGTTACACAAATGTGAAATAACTCAAGTGACAGGTTCTTCTTATGACCTTGCCAGCACCCTGGGCACCCAGAGACCGTCACTGCAGGATGGGGACCCCTCACCCATGGCCAGAGCTGCAGATGTCTCTGTGTAAGGTGTCTAGAGACGAGTCACTGGAGGGGCACAAGAGCATCTGTAGATGTTCGCCTAGGGCAGTGATGGCGGAACTTTTAGAGACCAAGTGCGCAAGCTGCAACCCAAAACCCACTTATTTATTGCCAATGCTGCAATTAAATCTGCACAGAGGTTGCAGTTTAGAAAAAACACCATGGTGACTGGCTTGTGTGCCAACAGGGAGGGCTCTGTATGCCCACTGTGGTTCGCCACCTCTGGCCTAGGGCTTTGGAGATGGCCTCCCGCCTTAACATTCTTTTCCAGAACGACGGTGTTTACAGAAAGAAGCTGAGGAGACGACAATAACCACTACTTTTCCCCATGGTTCCAGTGGTTTGGGGGGGTGAGAATAAGGACAGGTACAGGACCCCTCGAAAAGCAGGTGTTCACAGAAGTGCCGAGCCAGCTCCCGTCCCATCTCCTTCAAGCGCCAGGAGCGGGATTCAGCTCTCTAGATCCACATACTTCCTCTACTGTACCAGGCCCTGCTGTACAAAGGTGAGCAAGCAGGAAGTTTAGTGCTTCGAAGACTCTGGGGCACTAAAACCCTTCCAACAAATTCACCTTCTCCAGTGCTGACAGGCACTAGAGAGGCTGGCTGGGCATGGAGCCTCACGCCTATAATTCCAGCACTCAGGAGGCTGAGGCAGGAGGATTGCCATGAACTCAAGGCCAGCCTGGGGTACATAGTGAGTTTAAGCCAACCTGAACTGCACGGCAAGACCCTGTTTTTTAAAAACAACAAAACAAAACTTAAACTAGAGAGGTTGGTAGAGTGAGACACCCATGCACTGCACGTTATCTGGGGGGGCCTTGTTTGAAATTACATTTCTGTGTCCAAATTACACTCTACATGGTACTCACGAGTCTCAGCTCTGGCCCCTCCCCCAATGCCTCCTCTGGCTCCCCAGGCTGGCAACAGATGAGGCTGCCTCAGCTCTCCTGGGACCCAGGGGTAGTGGGGCGCACTGCGGAGTAACTCCCTTTCTGGACTGCAGCCCCTTGCAATGTCAGAACTGGGTCTTCTCTATCTTCTAGTCCCAGTGTGCTGCAACAATCCCATGTCCTGGTTTATTCTGAGCTGCCAATTTTTGCTACAACAAGAGGAAGCCACTTGCTCGCTTGCCTAGTGTGAAATAACTGGCATTTGTCTATTTGTAAGAATCCGGACTTTGTAAAGATTCTTTTGATTTCAGGCATGTTTATCCTGTACCTCAAACCATCAATTTCTTTTGTTTAATCCAGTTTTGGGGAAAGACTTATTTTTAAAATGTCAGAAAACGTAGGTACTAGCCTCTTTAAGAATAAGATAGCAAAATTAAGCTGGGACTGGTGGTGCATGCCTACGATCCCAGCTTCGCAGGAGGCTGAGGCAGGATGATCACAAAGGTCAGGCCAGCCTGAACAATCTCAGTGAGATCTTTTCTTTCAATAAAAAATAAAAAGGGCTGGGGGTATAGTTTAATGGTACAGTATTTGCCTATCATGCACAAGGTACTGGCTACTGCAAGGAAAGAAGAAAAGGTGGTAAAGTTTACCACATGATCGGGACTCCTTGTTAAAGTCTTTCTGCTGTGGTCCGTCCATCAGGCACAACTGAGGCTGCCGGCAGGGCAGGGCAGCACCTGCCTCTCAAGGGCCTGTGACGACACCGAGGCTTGGGGAGAGCCTGCGCTCCACAGCTGGGCTGCTAAGCCCAAACCCTGGCTGCCAACGATTGCTCGAAGCTCAATCTTAGGTGGGTGCCTGCTCTCTCGGAGCTGGACCTGGGCAGATCGTGGTTCTGGTAACAGCTACGCCACAAGAAGCGGCCAAGAAGAGAGAAGGAAACGCACATAGAGAATGCTGATGCCCAGACTCTGAGTGCCCATTCTGTGCTGGTCACTGCCTGGCCCAGGAAAGTCCATTAGCACCACACACAGGGCCAGGCTCTGCCAGGCACCATCGTGTCGACCTCGTCCTAATGCAGCTGTGCAGCCTGGAAGAAGGGAACACGGAAGCACAGTACATAGGCCAAGCCAGTGAGGCTGGGATGTGTGAGTGTGGGGGCTGTGTTATTAGCAATAAGGGATAAGGATACAGGGGAGAGGGGAAACTGTGTGAAAATGAGAGCCACCAAGGACAGTTTCCTGTCTGTCTGTCTTGCTCAGTCTCCACCATGCAGCACTGTGCTCGGCACACAGCAGCTGCAGAATCATGATTTGAATCAAATGGGCAAAGGGCAGGCCGGTGTCTCCTGACACCCTCAGCAGTGGACAAGAACATGGGGAAGGGCTTCTGACAGACAGACCGGGGCCAACCCTGGACCCCAGCTGAGTGGCTCTGGGCAAGGTTTGGCTTCTCTCAGTCTCAGATTTGTCATCTGTAAAACTCCACTTTGCAGGATTATTGTGAAAATTAGAGATAACGCACAGGTCTGGTGCCTGTTTGACGTTATAAACACACTGCAGCAATTACCGTGACGGTGTTATTTCTACTCAGACAGGAGTGCCTGGTGGAAAGGACAGCGAGCCGAGACTAGGAGACCTGAGCTCTCATCTGTCACCAGCTTCCTGTGGAGCCTCAACAGGATGCATCACTCCACTGTTCTGAGTCTCAGGGTGTTACAGGGCAATGCCACGGCGGGCCACATTCTAGGGGGAAGACCTGGGCACAATGAGAGAACAGGCATTTGGGGCTTGAGAGGTTCAAGTAAAACAGTAATGTTTCCTGAAGCTAACTGTGGCCTCCACTGCATTATTAGAAGCAAACTAGGGCAACCAAGGAGGGGCCCTGTCACAAAGACTCATGATAGCCCTGAAGGGAAATAACAGATTTGTTCTATAGATGTTGCACAGAGAAGCTGACTGGCCAAATCTGTGTCAAGCACAAAATACAAAGAGGAAGAACAAAGTTTGAACACAATCTCAGTGTGGCAAATCCACAGACATGCAGCACCTTCACGGTATTCCCAGACCATCTACCCCCACCCTCCAGCACAGAACTGCTTTGGAGTAGTTTTCCAACATGCATTGGATACCATCTTAGAGAGCAAACTTCTTTTTTTCCCATGGAATGAAGTCCAGTGATAAGAGCTAAAAATTAAAATGTGGCTGAACATCAGAGGAAGAAACAGTGACAGCCCTGGAGATGACCTTGCAGTACTCAGCATTAAAGTAAATCTGGTGGAAAATGAGGTCCTGATGATCTACGAGAGCCCAAGGGAGAGGGCCGTGGGCTAACACAGTGCGCCAGCACACTTCAAAGCTCAGTGACGCACAGATGTGGTGGAAGTCAGAGCTGTAATTACATCCGCTGGAAGGAAGAAAAACCAGGGCTTCAGGGCCCACAGCTCTGTCCAGCACAGTGAGCTCCGCTACAGCGAGATGGGACCACTGCCGCCCTGAAGGCCAGGCTCCCGCTAACGGGGACAATGCCAATGCTAGGGTTCTGGAGGCCAAGCCTTCCAAAGCACACAGGAAGACAGGGACAGTCACAGAAGTCTAACCTCTGCCTGCGCATTTCTTATTCTCCACAATACATGGGATCCTAAAATCAAAATCCTAACATCATTTCCCAGTTATCTTCCATACTAACACAGGAGGTCAAACCCAGCTTGGAAAGACAAGGGATGCTTTAATTCTCCCACATGATCATCTCTCCTGTAGTCACAGGCATTCCCCATGACTGGATGATGGTACAGGTGGAACCCATTAATGGAATGAGAACTGTATGTCCCATTTTCCCCCACCTGCCCTTGACCTCAGGTTTAAATTTGTCTTTATAATCTGCTACACAGCTCCAGAGGTCCTAACCAGTGAGAGCTCCTGGAGAGAGGAGTAACTACACCTCCCTCCCCCTGGCAAACTTCACTTTCCTAAAACTCCCCCTCTACAACACAGTGCTCACACTGAACCGGAACCCCGCTGCCCACACGCGTCCCAAGGTCCAACGTTCTCCACAGGTCACAGCTAGCAGTGGGTCAGGTAATAGAAAACAAGCTGAAAAGGTGGTAGCCGCCTGGAGAGAAGGGAAACTCAGGCAGGACATCTCTAAAAGGAGACTTCATTGAGAGCAGCAGTCAGGGCTCTAGAATGACAGTGCCAGAGTGACCCTTGACAGCAGAGGGGAACGGTCAGCTGAAGCCTTCTGAGGTGTGAAGAGGAGGAGCAGTCACCAGCACCGCGGGGCAGCTCACAAGAATCAGGCGCGTGATCGCTGTGTCGGCTACTGACAAGCGCTGCACGAGTGTTATCTCAGTGACTATCACAAAATTCTACGAGGTAGGTACTTTTGCTACCATTCTTAGAGTTAAAGAAACCAAGGTCCTAGGGTTCAGCGATGTGTGAAAGGTCACTCTGGTTGGTGGTGGACTCCGGATCTGAGCTGGAGCAGTCTAGTTCCAGCAGTTCCTTCAGCAGGTTTTCG